GAGCTGGGAGTGGAAAGCGGGAGCCTTCCCCTGGGAGCCAGAGGTGAAATGTGTCTGTGAGCTGGAAGGGGACAGTGAGGCTGGTGTCCTACTGCCCTCACCAACCAGGCACAGGCAGGAGCCCGCGGGCACAGATGCTAAATATCCACAGAATGAGTCTTCATCTATTTACTGTGCATTTTCTTGCCAGGGAGAGGTGGGCTGAGAAGCAGGAGAAACTGAGGAAGAAGGTGACGCAAAGAAACCTCCAAACTCCCTGAACAAGTGCACCACCCCCATCTTCTATATAGTTGAAACTGGCAAGTGAATTAGATGAAATCTCAGCAATATTTCCAAATGCCTGCTCATTAAGAGTGAAAGCGGGCAGCCAAAGAATGGGCTTTTCCTCCCAAAGCAAAAGTTTCCTGGTTTTGCACTTTGCTCCTCTGAAGAGCAAAAAGAGCACAAAACAGTGACACAAACAAACACACCAGGACTCCAGGAGCGTCTCTGAAGCACCTGGCGGGGCTCCTGTTCTCTCCCCGTGTATTTCTCAAGCCTGGGTTGGGTGAGGCTGTGCCAGGCAATGCCTGAGCCCACCCGCTCCTTCCTGCCTCTGGCCAGGGCCACGGCACGTGGAATGAGCCACGATGGCCACGATGGCCAGGATGGTACATGGAACGAGCCAGGATGGCCAGGATGGCATGTGGAAGGAGCCACGATGGCCAGGATGGTCACGATGGCCACAATGGCACATGGAACAAGCCAGGATGGTCAGGATGGTCACGATGGCACGTGGAAGGAGCCACGATGGCACGGGCATCACCTGCTCCCAGCCAGGCCCGAGGGGACCCAGGCAGGGAAAACAGGCAGAGCGAGGTAAACGGGGCTCCAGGGAAATTAAGGCAAAGTGGAAGTCCTGGCAAAGCGAGGTAATAATTCCCTTTCTGAACGAGTGACTGTTTGGAATTTAACCAGGCGAACGCGATTAAACCAAATGGATATAAATTCTAGGTGCGGCGGCGAGTAATGAAGTGGAGAAAATGAACAGCACCCAATTAACAAGGAAATCGGATCTGCTGCAAGGCGAGGGGATCTAATGAAAAATGAAGGCTCAACTGCCCCTCTCAAAATGTTTCCAGATGGAGAACGCCCGTTTCACATCCAGCATCTTCTGGGATGCCCAGGGGACCGCAGCGCCTGGGGAGAGCCGAGGCTGCCTCCCCGAGTCCTCGGAGGAGCGAAATCCCCGGGCAGGGTGTGCGGGCACAGCCCGGCCGCTCCATGGCACCGAGCCCGGGAGGAGCCCGGGGTTACCCCCCGTGTCCCCCGCCGTGTCCCCCCGCAACCCCCGGGCTCTGCCCCGCTCCCCAACCCAGCCGCGGCTTTAGCCCGCAGCCCGGCTGTTCCCGGCCGGTCGCACCGTTCCGTTCCACGGCAGCGTGCCCACAACGGGGAGACAAACCGGACAAACCCCGGCACCGGCGGCCAGGCGGGACCGGGGAGCAGCTCGTGACAGGGACGCGCTGTCGCGACAGCGGGGCCGCCGCACGGGCGGCATCAACGACTGTCCCGGGGCAAGCGGGGCTCATTGCCCATTATTCGTTAATTACGAAGGGGATTCAGGGGCCCATCCCGCCCGGGTCCTGCGCCCACAGCAGCCGGTGGTGACGAGGCCCCGGTCCTGTCCACGTTCCCTTTCCGGTCGCCCTGCTGCCATGGCCCCGTTCCCGCTGCCATCGCCCTGTTCCCGTTCCCCTTGCCCCGTTCCCGTTTCCCTGGTCCCGTTCCCCCGTTCCTGTTCCCGTTGCCCCGCTGCCATTGCCCCGTTCCCGCTGCCCCGTTCCTGCTGCCCCGTTCCCATTACCCCGCTCCCATTGCCCCGTTGCCGTTCCCCCGTTCCCGTTCCCATTGCCCCGTTCCCGTTCCCTTGTTCCCGTTCCCCCGTTCCCGTTCCCATTGCCCCGTTCCCGGTCCCGTTCCCCGCCCCGTCCCCGTGGCCCCGCCCCTGCCGGAAGGGGCGGCCCCCCGGACGCACGTGACGGTGACGTCACGCGAAGCGCCGCGCGGGGCAGGGGGGGAGCAGCGGCCGGGGGCGCGCGCGCTCAGATCCCGGGGCGGCCATGGGGGCAGCGGCAGCCGAGGCGAACCGGACGCTCTTCGTGGGGAACCTGGACCCCAAGGTCACCGAGGAGCTCATCTTCGAGCTCTTCCACCAGGTACCGCCCAGCGCCCGCGCTGCGTGTACCGGGGCAGGGCGCGGCGGGGGGGCCGCGGCCGCCATGGCCGGCGGGGCTACGGCGGCCGCCGCGGGACAGGGTTCGGCGGGGCGCACGTGCGCGGCGGCGGCCGCTGCCTCCCGGTGTTTGCCTAACGCCTTCGCCCCCGGCGCCAGGCGGGGCCCGTGATCACCGTGAAGATCCCGAAGGACCGGGATGGACGGCCCAAGCAGTTCGCCTTCGTCAATTTCAAGCACGAGGAGTCGGTGCCGTACGGGCTGCGGCTGCTCAACGGGATCAAGCTGTACGGGCGGCCCATGCGCATCCAGTTCCGATCAGGTACCGGAGACGCCTTCACCAGGTGTCATGGGGGACCGTGCACTGCTGTCAGCTGCCCTAGCCTGCGGCAGTCACGGGGAAATTGCAGGAGCCTCTCACCAAGGGGTCCCTCACCTGCCAGCTCTGCTTCCCTCACATCCTCCTGTCCCGGTGCTTCGACCAGGGACCTCCTGTCCCTCATGGCCAGTGTAACCCCTTGGCCGAGCCTTCTCTGTGGGTTTTTATTGGATATTCCTGCAGCACGTCCAAGATCTGCTCTGAATTATATGAGCAGCAAAAATCGCATCTGATAGTGGTTAAATGAGCCACATTGGCTACAATATCTCTGCCCTTTCTGGTGGGAACTAAGATTGCAGTGCTTTTGCAGATCACTGACGAAACTTGAGAGCCAATTCAAAATGTGTTGATTTTCTGCAAGTTCGCTTCACACCTCATTTCCTTAACTGGTGTTTGTGGGTCTCCTGAATGATTTGTCTCTCCCCAGGGAGCAGTCATGCAGCCCAGGATATCAATCCATCCTGTTCCCAGCTCGGAGCTCCTGGCACCAGCCTTCCTGGGATGCCTCATCCAGCATCCAGCTGCAGCAGGTACGAGTGTGGCCAGCACAGGAGCATGCAGTGGAGGCAGACATTGCATGGTTCACCGTGTTCCTGGCTACTTCCAAGGGCAGTTTGGTGTTTCCTTTCTGTGGAGGGAGCACCAGGGGGATGCAGATGCCCTGTTGTGTGTTTAAGGCTGACACTGCTGCTGCGTTTTCCCTGCAGGTATGAGAGGGTTCCAGATGGCATGGGCGCACCGGGGTACCCATCGAGCCTGCAGAGACAAGCGGTGGTACGTGCACACTCAGGGGCACGGCTGGTGGGAATACACTGCTGGAGGGCTGGAATGGCACTTGCAGATGATGTGAAGCTCCTGGCACAGAGGGGGCCAGCTGGGAGGGCTCTGGGCGATGTAAGGGTCTGGTGTGAGCACTGTGGGCTGGAGGAGGCTCTGGGCAGCGTAAAGGTTCTGGTGTGAGCACTGTGGGTTGGAGGAGGCTCTGGGCAGCGTAAAGGTTCTGGTGTGAGCACTGTGGGTTGGAGGAGGCTCTGGGCAGCGTAAAGGTTCTGGTGTGAGCACTGTGGGTTGGAGGCCAGCCCGGGGTTTGGTTCAGGGCCTCCCCCAGGCAGTGAGCGTCCCAGACCGAGCCCCCCGTCCCTGTTTCCCCTCCAGATGAACAGCGCGGCCCGGCAGCAGCCCCAGTTCGGGGGCAAGTACGGGGAGCAGCCCGGCTTTGCCCCTCCTGGCTACCCGCCCTCGTTCCACGGCCCGCCCGGCTCCCCGGGGCCGCGGCGCCTGGAGGGGCCGCGCAAGGCCCGCCTGGGCGCCCACCCCTACGGCCCCGACGGGCGCCACTTCGGCCGCGAGCGCTTCGGGGACGGCGGCCCCGAGTATGGGCGCGGCAAGCGCGACGAGTACGGCTTCGAGGAGAGGGGCCACGAGGGCGAGCACCACTACCGCGGCCGCGAGGAGCACTACGAGGACAGGCACCGCGACGGCTGGAGCTACGAGCACCGCAGGGACAGCTACAGAGAGGCCAAGTGGCACTCGGCGCGCCACTGAGGGACTCAAGGGCGAAGCAAACGTGACCTGTTTCTCACTGAGAACATGTATAAAACCCCCCACCCCCCAAAAACTCCCCCAGTGAAGTCACCTTTTAGTGTTTGTAAAAATACCAGCAGTGCAGTCCTGCCAAACTCCGGTCTCAGTATTAAATGTGTTAACGCACGCTTCAGGGCTTTTCACCCGGTAAGGAAGCCATGAAGAAACCACCACGCTGACACTATGTCACAGATAAGTGCTGTTAGTATTTTTTTAGGAGAAAGGAACATCTGTGTCAGATGGAAGGTCTGGCATTTTAAGCAGAGTTGAGGTGGGACAGATGCTGCCTGACATCTGTAACATTCCTCATATTGTTTTTTATACAGTCACAGAATCACATATTGGTCTGGGTCAGTAGGTACATTAAAGATCACCTCACTCCAACCCCCTGCCAGAGGCAGGGACACCTTTCACCAGCCAGGCTGCTCAGAGCCCCATCCAGCCTGGCCTTGAACGCTTCCAGTGATGGAACATCCACAATTTCTATGCGTAACTTGTTACAGTTCCTAAGCACTCTCACAGTAAAGAATCTTTTCCTAATATGTAATCCAAACCTACTCTCTTTCAATATGAACCCATTCCCCGTTGTCCATTTAAAATACAGTATTGTTTTGAAGAACATTAAAAGTCTCCCTGGGGAAAGCCCCTGGGTGAACCTCCGCCTTTGAGGCCGGGGCAGCGGAGCTGCTCCGTGGCACCGGTAACGGCAGGAGCGTCCCCGGCCACCGCGGACTACATCTCCCAGCAGCCCTTGCGGCGCCTCCACCCCTATGGAGCTTAGGCGACGGCGCGGGGGTCGCCGGGAGCTGTAGTGCGGCGGCGATGCTGGGCGGCGGCCGCGCCGGCCTGGGCCGCCTGCGGATCTGCGCCGGGCGGTTGTGGCGGGGCCGGCGGAGGGCGGCGGCCATGGCCGGCGGCGACATGGGGCAGCGCATGGTCTGGGTGGACCTGGAGGTGCGGGGCGGCGGCGCGGGGCGGCGGGGGGTGCGGGGAAGCAGCGGACGGGACGGGGGGCGCGGGCCCCGGGCGCGCTGACGCTGCCGCTCGCCCCTGGCAGATGACGGGCCTGGACGTGGAGAAGGACCAGATCCTGGAGATGGCGTGTCTGATCACCGACTGCGACCTCAACGTGCTGGCCGAGGTGAGCCGCGCGGGCCCCGCGGGCAGTCCCGGCGATGCCGGAGCAAAGTAACGCCGGGGTCCCGGCTCCGGCCGCGCCGGGATCGCCGCTCGCACCGGGAGCGTGGGAGCGCAGCGGAGCGCGGGGCCGCGTCACGGTGCGCGGTGCGCCTGCAGCCGGCACCGCCCGCCTCCGCCCGCCTCGGCACCCGACTTCCACGGGCTCCTAAACTTGTTGTGCCATTACCTTGTGCTTCCCTTCCCCGCCAGGGCCCCAACCTGATCATCAACCAGCCCGACGAGCTGCTGGAGAGCATGTCCGAGTGGTGCAAGGAGCATCACGGGAAGGTAAAAACCCTGCTCGGCCTCGGCCGCCGTGGGAGCGACGGGTGATTCCGAGAGATGGGCTGCAGCCCGAGTAATGCTGAGAGATGGGCTGCAGCACGAGTAATGCTGAGAGTTCGGCTGCAGCACGAGTAATGCTGAGAGATGGGCTGCAGCACGAGTAATGCTGAGAGATGAGCTGCAGGATGTGTAATTCTGAGAGATCAGATGCAGGACGTGTAAGTCCTGAGTGATCAGCTGCAGCACGTGTAGTTCTGAGCGATTAATTCTGATAGATCAGCTGCAGTACAGTTCCCTGAGCAGGGACAATTCCTGTGCTGAGCAGTTCGCAGCCACACAGAGGGGTTCAAAGACAGGAGACTGTCTCTCTTATTTTGTATTGAGGAGCCTGCGTGGAGTGTTTTGCCCAGGGTCTCACGAGTCATCTGTGGCAGGGTTCAGACTGCTCTCAGGGATCCTTAGCCTGCAGCTTCCAGCTTGCCTGAAGCAGCCTGTGCTCTGCAGCCTGGTTTCTGACAAGTTGGAAGAGTGCTGGAAGCTGCTCCCCGGTCTGGGAGCTGGAAGCATCAGCACAGCAGCAGCAGCGAGCTCCCCTGGGAGGGCTGGAGCAGGCAGAGGGGCAGAACGGGATCCGTCACTCAGGGATGTGCCTCTGGCTCACATCTCCCAAGAAAAGAGCTCAGCCTCCTTTCTCCCAGTGGGACAATTGGGGTTTGGTTCCTTGGTCCCCACACAGAGCTGCTGGCCACCTCCTGCCTCTGTGGGAGCCCTGGTGCAGGCTGGGCTGGGTTAAATTCTGACAGCTCCTCCTAATGAAGTCTTGCATAAAACAATTCAAAATAATCCCAGTGGGGAAGGGGGAGGTGCAGCTTGAATGCCGGAATAGGAGCAGGTGCAGGATTGGTGCAGAACAGTCCAGAGCCAGTCAAAGGCAGATTTCTCCCTGTGGACTCTGGTGCGTGTTTACAGGACTCCAGGCCTTTGCCTGTCCCCTCAGCCCTGTAGGCCTTGTGGATTTTTTAACTGAAAGCTTCACTTTTGCAGCAAGAGATTATTTTTAGTTCTTTGGGCCACCAAAGAAAGGTTCCTCTTTGCCAGCAGCAAGAGAGCAAATGGATTTTCCAGTCCCTGATGATGAATTGAAATTCAAGTTAGTTTTCAATTAAGGGCTGAAGTTTTAAGACATCCATAACCCCCCTCTCCTCCCCCTTCGGCATCTTGCCCTCCCTGGGAAGAATTAGCAAGAGTTTGAGAAATGAATATTAATTTACTGTGATGGGTGCTTCTCCCTGCCCCAGTCGAGGATTCCAGCTCAGCCTCAGCTCAGGAGTGAATTGGAGATGGAAGCATGCGTCCTTGCTGCTCCTGAGGAGCTACTTATTTTTAATTGACTAAGAGAAGAGAAGCAATTAGAATATAGATGAAAATGCTGCCACATAATGAATTTTTTAACCACCACTTGGATCTGTCAAGTAGATTTTTGCTGCACAGTCGTGGAAATATATAGCGTAGCCAGATGGAAATAAATCACTGAGAACACTTGGAGAGGATTTGACATTTAGCTATTGAAAAAAAAAAAAACAGGGAGGAACTTTTCTGATTTATAGGAATCTTGATGAAGCCTGAAGGGAGGATCCTGTTTATTTGTGTTCACTGGTAGCTGCTGCTCCCTGCTGGGGAGGCGAGTGCCTCTCCTGGAGCAGGGATGGGAAGGGAGGCAGCGCTCTGCTGGCTCAAGGATGTGCAGGTGGATCAACAACGCCTCACATCTTGGTAACTGGAAGGAGCTCTGAGCAAAGGAATCAAAAAAAGGGAAGGAAAAAGTCCCAAACCACACAGGAAGGTCAGTGCTGTCAGCACTATTTACCTGCCTTGGGTTTCCTTCCCAAGCAGGAGGTGCCTGGGGAGAGCAGAGGCTGGGGGTGCCCCAGGGACTGAGATGCAGAGTTCACGAGGGGCCTGGGGGACTCCAAGGCTGACCTTTCACTGCAGAGTTAAACATCTGCCTGGGAGCCGGAGCGTTCCTGGCAGCGCCTGTGACAGGCTGTTCTGATTTATGGCTTGGCTCTGTTTTGCAGTCTGGCCTTACCAAGGCGGTGAAGGAGAGTAAAATCTCGCTGCAGCAGGCGGAGTACGAGTTCCTGTCCTTCGTGCGGCAGCAGACACCCCCGGGGCTCTGTCCTCTCGCAGGTGAGGCACCTTCTGTCTGCACATCATCCATCCGTCCTGCACTCCCAGCACCCCCTGGCACGTGGGGCGGGCATGGGCTCCTCTTCTGTGCTCTGTTCCTCCCTGGCTATGCGGCCAAAGGCTGAATAAGGATCTTCCAGGTGTCCTGTTACCCAGAACTGCTCTCAGAATTTCATAGATGATCTTGGGACAGGTGCTGAGTGGAATTAATACCAATGGCCGCTTTCACTTGGCAAAAAACCCGATGTTGGCACAATTCTGTGATATTTATCTGCGTGACACAAATTGTGGGAGTAGTAACACAGGAATTACTAGAGGTATTAGTGTTAAACCCCGTGTGATCCTGCCATGAAAATCTGACAAACCTTTACAATCATATTTGCTAGAAAATGGGATAAATGAGCTGCTTGTGAATGGCTTTTCTTCCCCTGTGATCTCTCCCAGCTCGCTCCGCCTGCCGCTCGTTTCCATGTTGCTCTGCTTTCTTCTGTTTGAAGAAACATCTTGTTTGTGTCTTTGTAGGTAACTCTGTTCATGCAGATAAGAAATTCCTTGACAAATACATGCCACAGTTCATGAGGCACCTTCATTACAGGATCATTGATGTGAGCACTGTCAAGGAGCTTTGCAGGTAAGTGTTCCCCCAGTTCAGTGGTTTGAGAGGTACCCATGGGGTGCCCATTTGTGGTGCTGGGGCTCTGCAGACCAAGCAGGGGGACTGGCAGGGCCGTGGCTTCTCTGGGTGTCAGGGAAACCAGGGTTCCTTCACCAAGTGTAACAAACCCACAGCAGCCCCCAGGCATGCCTTTGGGTCCCAGTTTTCTTTCTAAGTGGCAATGCTTGTGCTCACAGGCGCTGGTATCCAGAGGAATACGAGTTTGCACCAAAGAAGGCGGCTTCTCACAGGTGAGCTCTGTGCCTCCGTCTCTGACAGCAGGGCTGGTCCTGCAGAGAACTCTGCTCCTCCTGAGCAGGATCTGGGGCTCCCTGTGAATTCCAGCCTCCTGTGGCTGATGCAGGTGGAGATGGCTTCTGCACCCTGTCAGATGTTTGAATTCTCCTGTCCAAAGCCTAGGGAAAGGGATTATTAAAATCCAGAGAACCAGAAGTTTCCTCAGCCTTTCTGTTTCACTCTGCTCTTCAAAGTGCATGTTTGTTGACCGTACAAACAGTCACTTAATGGGGGTTATCTGCCCTTTTTTTGGGCAGAGGTGGTCACAGAAACACAAAAATTTCAGAACTGTGAATGGGGGGGTGAGAGTCCTGCTCGTGCCTATTTCCTGAGCTTGGAATGTGCCAGAGAGGTGTCAGGAAGGAGCCAGGGAGCCTCTGTGGCTCCGCTCTGATGTGCCCATGCTGGGCAGGAGGGAGGCTGTGGTGCACACACAGAGGAGGAGGAGGGCTGGCTGTCACAGGGCTCCTGGCTGAGGCCGTGGTTGATGTGCTGCTGCAGGGAGCTGAGCCCTGAGCGTGCCCTGGCTGCAGCTGGGCAGCTCTCTGGACCCGGGCTCTTCCCTCGGGTGGAATTGTGTCTGACAGCCAGCGCTGGTTTCCAGCAGCTGCGTCCCAGGCTGACGTAAACTAATCAGCTGTGAGTTACTCCCTGCCACCTTGGCACCACTGGACTTTTATTGCTTCCCTGAGACAATGAGTGTTATTTTCATGCCTGACAGATGCACCTTCCTGTGCATCAGTTTGGTTTCCTGCAGCCTGGAAGTTTTCAGCGGCATTAGGATGTGGGCATAGCTGGAGATGTACCCAGGCTCTTTGAAACCCTCCTTAATTCTCTTTCAGAGCACTTGATGACATCAGGGAAAGCATCAAAGAACTCCAGTTCTACAGAGACCACATCTTCAAGAGGAAAACGGATGAGAAAAAAAGGAAACTGATTGAGAACGGGGAAAGCGACAAAGCTGCCAGCTGATTTCCCCTCCCGCCACAGCAGCCCCTAGCACACACTAGATGCGTCTCCCGGTTTTCTTTTGTTTGCCGGTCTCTTGGGAAGCTGCCCCCTGGGTTACCTTGTTTCTTACCAGCTGTTCAGTGCAGACAGAAGCCTGAGTTGCTGCTGCTTTTCAGTTTGAGCGGGGAATGGGCACGCTGGGCCTCGGCGGCGCCGGGCTCGGCTGTCCAGGTAAAACACGCTGTTTGATACTCCTTGCACCTGCTTTTGGGTGCAGTCTTTCACGGCTCAATAAAACAGGTCAGTTGAAAGATGGTGGTTTTGGACAGCCTTTCTTTGCTGCTGCTCCCCTGGGCTGTCCTGGAGCGGGAGCTGCCGGCCCACGAACCGGAGGGTGCAATGGAGCGCGGGCGTGCAGCTCCCAGGCATGTTTTTATTATGGGCATTAATAATAACGGCCATCCAGGGCTTCTCAGTCCTGCTGATTGTTGGAACACCTGCTCTGCCAGCCCTGGGAATGACTGTTATTGCAGAGAGGCCGTTAAAATGGTTAATGGGGCAAATAAATGAGTCTGTGAAATGTCTCTCTCCTGTGTCACCAACTCCCAGGTAAGTTGGCAATTCCAGAGAGGTTGGGCAGGCTTGGAGCAGGGCAGAGCTGAGGGACGTCCCTGCACAGGGTTATCCACCACAGGCAGCACCTGCAGAGATGCCTGGGTGCCTGGGATGTGTTGGAGCTGAGGACTCATGGTTCACCCTTGTCCCAGCAGCTCCCCAGACCCACATCACAGCCACGTGCCACCAGAATTCACTTTGTCTTTCATTTCCATGTTGTTAGTTTTCCTCCCTTCCTTTGAGTTCTTTCTGACCTACTTCTGCTTTTCATATTTTATTCCTTGTTAAGATGCTTTTGTTTTTCTCGAAACATTTTTTAAGGAAAATATGCCACCTGCATTTATAAATTTTTAAATATTGTTTATTCTTGCTTCTGAAGTAACGGTGCCGTATGGAGGATTTTTATCTCGTCTCCTGTGTTATGCAATAGCATTCGTGGTTCTCTGTGCTGGCATCGTTTGAGGTTCCAATTTAGTACAAATTTGTCACGCACTTGGCAGAGCACAGATAAACCCCACCAAAGCGGGTGTTATTTTGGGCTGGAAACAAAGTTCCCTCCTGCAGCAGGGGCTGGGGAGAGGAACAGCAAGGACCCCTGGCTTTGCACCGCTCCCTTCTGTAGGAGCTCTCACATCAGCTGTTTCCATGCTCTGAAAGCTCCTCAGCATCGCACAGCGCGGAGGTTCCAGATGCAGGGAGGCAATAACTCTCTTTTTGGATGGGGTAGTTAAAAGAATCCCTCAAAGGCAAATACAGAGTGTGCCTGGGAGCCCTCGGCTCCCCCCTTTAGGGCTTGTGGAGGTGTTTAACAGCACATTAAACCTGCCAAGGGCTCCCCCCTTTAGGGCTTGTGGAGGTGTTTAACAGCACATTAAACCTGCGGCACCATCCGGGTTTGTGCTCCCGTTCGGAACAGGAGTCCCCACAGCTCCAGTCCTGCCAGCACGGAGAGTTTCCCGTGTGGAAACTCCTTCCAGACATGAGCCATTTGAGCCTCCCACGATGGCAAAAAGAGCAGCCAGTTATCCCTCCCTCCTTCCCTTCCTCCCTCCCTCATCTTTTCTCTGCCCTTCCCTGCACCTCTCCATCAATGCGCACTGCACTGTTTGGGTGCAAACCACAGAAATCAGGAAAAACAACAGCTCGTGCTACACTTGTGTCCACATTCAGTGTGGTCTGCTCCCATTCTCTCCTTTTAGAGAAGCCCTCCTGCTCCCGGCACAGCTGCTGGCTCCACCGCAAAGGGCCAGAGCAGCTCCTGCCCTCCGGGAGCTGCAGCACACACAGCACACACAGCACACACACAGCGCACACACAGAGCGCACACAGAGCACACACAGCACACACAGCACACACAGCACACACACAGCGCACACACAGCGCACACAGCACACACACAGCACACACAGCACACACACAGCACACACAGCACACACAGCACACACACAGCACACACAGCACACACAGCACACACAGAGCACACACAGCACACACAGCACACACACAGCACACACAGCACACACAGCACACACACAGCACACACAGAGCACACACAGCACACACACAGCACACACAGCACACACAGCACACACAGCACACACACAGCACACACAGCACACACACAGAGCGCACACAGAGCACACACAGCACACACAGCACACACAGCACACACAGCACACACAGCACACACACAGCACACACACAGCACACACACAGAGCGCACAGAGAGCACACACAGCACACACAGCACACACACAGCACACACACAGCACACACAGAGCACACACAGCACACACACAGCACACAGAGCACACACAGCACACACAGCACACACAGCGCACACACAGCACACACACAGCACACACACAGCACACACAGCACACACAGCGCACACAGCGCACACAGCACACACACAGCACACACAGCACACACACAGCACACACACAGCACACACACAGCACACACAGAGCACACACAGCACACACACAGCACACAGAGCACACAGAGCACACACAGCACACACAGCACACACAGCACACACACAGCACACACACAGCACACACAGCACACACAGCGCACACACAGCACACACAGCACACACAGCACACACACAGCACACACAGCACACACACAGCACACACACAGCACACACAGCGCACACAGCGCACACAGCGCACACAGCACACACAGCACACACACAGCACACACAGCACACACAGCACACACACAGCACACACAGCGCACACACAGCGCACACACAGCACACACACAGCACACACACAGCACACACAGCACACACAGCACACACAGCACACACACAGCACACACACAGCACACACAGAGCACACACAGCACACACACAGCACACACACAGCACACACAGCACACACAGCACACACACAGCACACACACAGCACACACACAGCACACACAGCACACACAGCACACACACAGCGCACACACAGCGCACACAGAGCACACACAGCACACACAGCACACACAGCACACACACAGCACACACACAGCACACACAGCACACACACAGCACACACAGCACACACAGAGCACACACAGCACACACACAGCACACACAGCACACACAGCACACACACAGCACACACACAGCACACACACAGCACACACACAGCACACACAGCACACACAGCACACACACAGCACACACACAGCACACACAGCACACACACAGCACACACAGCACACACAGCACACACAGCACACACAGCGCACACACAGCACACACAGCACACACACAGCTCACACAGCACACACAGCACACACACAGCACACACAGCACACACAGCACACACAGCACACACAGCGCACACAGCACACACAGCACACACACAGCACACACAGAGCACACACAGAGCACACACAGCACACACACAGCACACACACAGCACACACAGAGCACACACAGCACACACACAGCGCACACACAGCACACACAGCACACACAGCACACACACAGCACACACAGCACACACAGCGCACACACAGCACACACACAGCGCACACAGCGCACACACAGCACACACACAGCGCACACACAGCACACACACAGCACACAGAGCACACAGAGCACACACAGCACACACAGCACACACAGCACACACACAGCACACACAGCACACACACAGCACACACAGCACACACACAGCACACACACAGCACACACACAGCACACACAGCACACACACAGCACACACACAGCACACACACAGCACACACAGCGCACACACAGCGCACACAGAGCACACACAGCACACACAGCACACACAGCACACACACAGCACACACAGAGCACACACAGCACACACACAGCACACACAGCACACACAGCACACACACAGCACACACACAGCACACACAGCACACACAGCACACACAGCGCACACAGAGCGCACACAGAGCACACACAGCACACACACAGCACACACAGCACACACACAGCACACACAGAGCACACACAGCACACACAGCGCACACACAGCACACACAGAGCACACACAGCACACACACAGCACACACAGCACACACACAGCACACACACAGCGCACACAGAGCACACACAGCACACACACAGCTCACACAGCACACACAGCACACACAGCACACACAGCGCACACACAGCACACACACAGCACACACACAGCACACACAGCGCACACAGCACACACAGAGCACACACACAGCACACACACAGCACACACACAGCACACACAGCACACACAGCACACACCTCGGGAAGGCAGGGATGAGCAGGGACCCTCGAGCAGCATTCCCCGGTGTGCAGGGGCTGAGCTGGCTGCCCCGAGATGGCAGGGATGTGCTGGGGACACTCTGAGCCCACCCTGGCACCGCTGCCAGCGCTGCCCACTGGCCCTGGGCGCCGCCGGGTGAGGCTGCAGCGGCTCAAGGTCGCGGCAGAGAGCCCGGAATAGAAAACCTTCAGACACGATTTTTGTCTCTTTTTTCCTCCCACCGCCGCTGATGATACCCTTTTACTGGAATAACTCTCTCCTGCTGACAGATAAGCTTTTAGGGTAGTGAAATCTCTGTGACACTTTAAGTGCCCTAAATGACAAAACAAGGACGTGCAAGATTACCCCGTGAAACACAACTTGTCACGAGTTGCCACAGCCCCCACGGGGACAGGGCAGAGCCAGAGCCAGGACTGTCCCTGCAGCAGGACAGAGAGCAGGACAGGGTGGGCAGCGCAAAGGGAGGGAAAGGGGCACAGCGGGGCTGGTGTGAGTGCGGCCTCCCAGCCATGGGCACGGGGTCCCTCTGGATTGGGGATTTGTGTCTCTGCCTGCTCCCCGCTGACGGATGGGATCCAAATGGCCATAAATTGCCGGTGCTGCTGCAACGTTCCATCCCCTGCCGGAGCTGTGCGGGGCACGGGCTGCCACTCAGCTGCCAGGGAGGGAGAGGTGACAGCCAGGGACAGCCATTCCCCAGCACTAACTGCAGCCGAGGGGCACAAATGGGGGATAATGGTGTGAGAGGGCCCAGCAGACACCGTGTTTTGGGAAAGAAAACAATCATCTGGTGAGTCAAGTGGCACCTACTGACCCCTCAGCTCTGGCACTCAGGGCAGGCTGCAGAGTGCAAATCCCTCTGCTTTCCCAGGACCAGGCTCAACACCCCTTTCCTGGGAAATCTGGGGGAA